TCATGTCATGGCAGAGGGAATGATGGGAAATTTGCAGCTTAAACAGGCATGAAACTGAGAAACATGTGTACCACCTGAAGTAGTTCCCAGGATTTGCTCCATTTCTTAGATGCAGGTATAAAAACATGTTATTTTTAGAAAAAACGTTTCTACAAGCTAAGCCTCGTCTGTGTTTAAGTGCGTTGGTCAGAAATTCTTACATCTCCTCCCTCGCCGTAAGAAAGAAACTGAATATGCAAAGTGTAATGTGAAGTTTCCACTTCCAAAAAAGGTCATAATTTTAAGAGTATTTAAAAAAAAAGCCATCTAATAGCATAGAGAAGATCATTTTAAGTCATTTTCACAGCCAGAGTGGCCAAAGAACAACAGAAAATCAGCAACAATCAGGTGTGAATGTAAATACAGCATTTTATAACTGGAGTGACGAGTTACTCACTGGAGTTTTAGAGACTCGGACTTCCACCTCAGGGGTGAGAGAAAACAGAGCTTTGATGAGAGACGACTTGCCCACGTTGCTCCTGCCGATAAAACACACCTGGAAAACACCAACAGGGAGTCAGCTGCAGATTTGTGTGCTGTAATTTACAGTTCTGTGATTTTTATCCTGGAATCTTTTTCCTGCTCCAGTTGCCACCATATCGCCTTTAGTGCCATTTAGCCACGTGGCACACCTGCCAGGTGGACACTGTCATCAAGCTTTGAACGCTTCGCCTTCTGGAGAAGGCCGAGTGGTAACTGAGCCTCTTGGTCCTGTTAACACTCGCTGCCAGAGCTTAACGTTCTTCTCCATGAGGTTATAAATCTGATGATTTATTAGCCATGTTCAGTTCTGCTTCATTATTCATGAGGATGAAGAGACATTAGGTTACATTTTTCATCCATTTAGGGTTGAGGAGGGGCGAATGCGCTACTTAAAGTCCACATTCTCTTTCTTTACCAGCTGCTTTCTACACAGCCATCCTACCTGACCCAGAGTCAGGGAAATTATTCTGCACAAGTGTTTTGTGTTAAACCTCAAGTGACCACTGAAATAACTGAGTAAAGTGATCATATTTTACACAAGAATCCTTTTTTAAATGGTTGTTTGTGCTCCTCATACCTACAACATTTACTTTATCATTCAGTTAT